AAAGGCTTTGTTGCCTGTGCCAGGATTCAGGATCTCTCATCTGGGCTGCAGAGGAACTCAGAGTGGGAGGGAAAGATCTAGCTGTCATGGTCGACATAGGTACTAATGATATAGGTGGAATGAGGAAGATAGTTCTAAAGTGATATGAACAGATGGGTTAAAATAAAAAGCAGAACCAAAAAAATGGTAAAAACTTTCTACCTGAGACATGATCTAATTGGCACAGGGGTCAATAAAATTAAAGAGATAACGTGTGACTCAAAGATTGGTGAAGGAAAAATGGTCTGAACTCATGGGGCATTGGCACCAGTACTGAGGAAAGAGGGAGCTATTCAGATGGGACAGGCTCCACGTATATCATGCTGGACCAGAGTCCTGGCAAATCACAGAACAAGGGCTGTAGATAGGAGTTTAATCTAATAGGAGGAAGGGTTCAGTTGCATGGCAAATTATAAAATCAAAGTTAAAGGGAGAAGGCAAAAAAAGTGTAGATTAATGATGAGGCTGATTGTTCCCAGAAGATAAAAAGGAAGGGACAGAATGCACGACTGTCATTTGCACTGAGCTATATAAAAAGTATGGAAATTTGATAACAGAACAAACTTAAAGGCTTTGCATCTGAACATATGAAGCATTTAGAATAAAGTTAATGCATTAACTGTGCAAATAGAGAGAGACAAACAGGCATGACCTGGGGGCAATTGAGACATGGTTGCAGGGAGAACAAGTTTGAAAGGATAGGCAGGAAGGAAAAGGAAGTTTTTTTTTTAAAAAAAGTGATCAATGCTATAGTGAGAAATGATATCAGCACTGGAGATAGAGACAGAATCAGTCTGGGTAGAAATGAAAAAAAAACACTAGGGAAAAGAAGTCCTTGGTGGAAGTAATCTATAGGTCCTCAACAGTAGTCCTGCAGTAGAGCACAGTATACACTAGGGAATACTGGGAGTTTGAAAGAAAAGGTACAACATAATCATGGATTATATTAATATACATGTGGACTGGATTAATCAAACTGGCAAACGTAGCCTCAAGAGAGTTCATTGAATGTATTAGGGATAGCTTTTTGGAGCAATGTGTTTTGCAAACAACCAGGGAGCAGGCTATTTTGGATTTGATATGCTGTAATGACGTGGGATTACTGAATGATCTCATGATAAAGGATCTTCTAGGAAAGTGTGGTCATAGCATAGTGGAATTCAAATTCCGTTCACAGCAAGAAACTGGAGCCCCACACTATCACGCTGGAGTTAAACAAAGGTAATTACACAGGCATGAGAACAGATTTAGCCTGAGTAAACTAAACAGGATGACTAAAAGATAGGACAGTAGATGAGCAGTGAAGGAGATACTAATTTGCTCCCAACTTAAATATTTATAAGAAAGGAAGAAATATTGTGAGGGGTAGGGAAGAAACCATCCATGGCTAAGCAAGGAAGTTAAAGACAAAAACTAAGGTATATCATATTGCAAAAGTGGATGGCAGCCTGGAAGACTAGGAAACCTTTAAAGATTAAAGGATTACTAGTAAAGTAATAGACAAAGCAAAAGGTAATTTAGGAAAGAAACAAAAAAGTGATAGCAAAAGCTTCTGTAAGTATATAAAAAAGGGAAGAGAGAAAAGTTAAAATGAACATTTTCCTCTTCCAAGGGGCCACTGGAGAGTTAGTGAGGAACACAAATTGCAGTCATTAAAATCAATATTTTGCCATGATGTGGAGGTGCCGGTGTTAGACTGGGGTGGAAAAAGTCAGAAGTCACATGACAGTGAGAAACACCTCTCTCTCACTTCACCTGATGAAGGGGCTAAGCTCCAAAAGCTTGCGATTTCAAATAAGCCTGTTGGACTATAACCTAGTGTTGTGTGATTTCAATTTTTTCAGCACTTTCCACAGCTATGATACTAGTACCATCCCTAGTAACAGGTAATGCAGAGGCTATAGAAAGAGAGGACTTAGAACAATCAGTAAAGGAAAAGTACAGCGCAAACCATTGGGATTGAAGACAGGCATAGCCTATCACCTACATGTTAGGGTCTTAAAAAAAGGAAGTGACAGAGATAGTGGATACATTGGTTACAATACTCAAATTCCTTGGATGCATGAAAAGTTAATGGATTCGAAAAATGATAATAATACTGTTATTCAAAAAGGGAGAGTGTCAAAGTAGGAAACTATTGACTAGTTAGTTTAATGTGCACTGCTAGGAAATCATTAGTATCTTTCAAGGAAGTAATACCAGGACATTTGGAAAGTCAGTGCAATCCTTCAGAGTTAGCGTGCTTTTGTGAAGGGCAAACCCTGTTTTACGAATTTGCTGGAGTTATTAGATGATGTAACAAGCAAGATGGATAATGGGGATCCTGTAGATGTACTACATCTGGTCTTTTAGAAATCATTTTGTAAAAAAAAAAAAAAGGTGCCTCAAAGAAAGAATAATACACCAAATAAGATCACTCAAGATTGGCGTAATTTGTCAGCTTGGACAGAGGAATGGCTAACCAACAGAAAGCAGAGAGTCAGGATAAATGGGTCTTTTTCTGGCTGGCAGGCTATGACTATTGGGGCATCACAGGGTTGAATACTCAGGCCCTAACTATTTACAATCTGTATTAAATTGACTTGGATGCAGGGATAGAAGGTACGATAGCCAAATTTGCAGATAACACTAAAATAGATGGGAAATTAAGTTGCAATGAAGAAATAATAAACTTACATATTGTTAGGTGAACAGGTCAAAATTTGGCACATGAAGTTTAACTTGGATAAGCAAGAAGTTATCCATTTTGGTCAGAGAAACAGAAAGCCAACTTATTATCTAAATGGAGAGAAACTTCAGAGTGATTTGGTACAGAGGTGTCCTCCTGCATGAATTGCAGGAAACTAGTGTACAGGTACAGTCAGTAATAAGCAAGGCAATTGGAGTTGACATTTGTTGCTAAAAGGAACAAACCATAACAGTACTGAAGTAGTGCTGTAACCGTACAAGGGATTAGTTGGACCACAGCTGGATAGGGCACACAATTTTGGACCTCTTACTCTGAGGAATTTAGTTGCATTGGAGGCAGTTCAAAGAATGTTCACTAGATTGATTAGAGATAAGTTTGTCTTGAGATTGAGCAGTTTAGGCCTATACTCTCTGGAGTTTAGAAGAATGAGAGATCTAATTGAAATATACAAGATGCTAAAGGGAATTGACAAATTAGGCAGTGTGCACCTCATGTGGGACATTCTATAACAAACAGGTCATATTTTTATGTTAACGGGTAGCAGATTTAAAAAAAGCTGAGAAAAAAATTACTTCTCTCAAAAAGGTCACGAATCTGTGGAATTTGCTATTCTAGTGGATGCTAGGGTATTGAGTAAATTTGAAGAGATAGATGAAATTTTAAGGGTAAGTGGAGTTGAGGCAAGGACAGAATCAGCCATGATCATACAAAATGGTGGAGCAGGTTCAAGGAGCTAAACTGCCTACTCCTGTTCCTAGTTCCTACATTCCAAGAGACGACAATTTTTTTTTTATTATTATTTACAAGACGAAGGCATCGCTGGCTAGACAAGCATTTATTGCCCATCACTAATTGCCCAGAGGACAGTTAAGAGTCAGCCACATAGCTGTGGATCTGAAGCTGCAGGTAAGCCAGACCAGGTAAGGATGGCAGTTTCCTTTGCTAAAGGATATTAGCGAATTAGGTGGACTTTCCCAAAACAAAAACAAAATTAAAATTAGAAAAAAAAAAGAAAAAAAAATTGATTAATGGTCATTATTAGACTTGGTTCCAGACTTTGTTTTGAGTTCAATTTCCAACATCCACTATGGCAGGATCTGAACCCAGGTCCCCGGAATATTAGCTGGGTCTCTGGATTAACAGTCCAGCAATAAAACCATCAACTCTTCAATTTTGTATACTGTTAGATAAATTAAAGCATTACAGTTGTGCTAGAGTTATTTATATGTAAAGGTTGACAGTTGTTCAACTGAAATAGCTTTATACCCAACACCCATCAATGTCCATACTTCTAACAAACATTGATCAAGAACCTAAGACAATTTCGGTTCCTAAATCCTAGATGGCAAAGGAACAACTGTCATGCCCTTAATAGTTCCGAGATCTGCAGACTGAATAAATTTTTCACTGCAAGTCATTTTCTTGCAAGGGTCTTTGTTGAAGTCTCAAGTACACTATATTTATTAGTGACTTAGATAATTTAAACAGCCGTACATTCAAGCTTTTCAATGGATATAGGTTTGTGACATAGCGAGTCGTGCCATAGGAGCAGAAAGAAAGTGGGCTGAATGGTCTCCTTCTGTGCTGAAAATGACAGATGAATTGATTGAAAGGAAAACTGATGGCTTGATTTGAAAGCAGTTAAGTGAGATCAAAACATTTATAGATTAGAGTACTTCCAAAATAGTTTTAAAATAGGAAAAATAAGGAAGGATAAAAATTTTTTCAAAGAGGTAGAAAAGGAGGGTGGTAGTCTAAAGGAAAATACCAACAAACTGGACAGAGGTGATATTCTGCTTTGGAAGGTCAAGGACAGAATATATTTGACCACCGGCTTGGTCTGTAGGCGAGGCCCATAGCGGGCTGCAATTCTGAACTTTTTATTTCTTTATTTTTCTAATTTATTCTTAAGATTTTGTACCTAAGTATCTTGTACCCAAGATGGCACAAAAGGACTGTAATGCTGAATGTTTTATTCCTTTATTTTTCCCATTTAATCACAAAATCCTGTAACTAGGTACCTTTGTACTAAGATGGCGTCATTAAGTGGCAACTTTGTAAACTTTTCATTGCACACGTGACAATAAACCTACAGGCATTTCTGCTATGTGTGTTTTGTTAATACAAACAGGCTATAATGCAATTGAAGAAGTGGATGCTGTCTGGATAATGCAAACTTTCAACTATACAGTACAGCGATTTCCCTATAACATGATTTTCTACAGCACGAGGTCACACAAAAACACAACTATTGTGTTATAGGAGAACTGTCTGTAATTCTAATTCTAAATATGTGAGGTACTATTACAATATTTGTACATTCTGTAGATCAACTAATAGGAAAGATAAAGAAACAAACTTGCAAAAGATAGTTTACATTAAATTAAATAATGCATGCGTTATTTACTGTTACCATTTAAAACTAGCCAGTTAGATTTTTAGTCAGTTGCGTGAAGTTCAAGAAAACAGGCCAGAAAGTTACTTGGACAGTGACATAATTTTAAATGTATTATTTCAAAAGACAGTACATTAATGTAGTAAATTGGTACACCCCTGTAGTGGCAATTGATGTAATATTTATACTGTTGAGTTTAACAGATACAGTAAAACACATTTAGGCATTTTAGTTTAGTTTCAACTTCATAACAGAAGCTTTGATGTTCTAATTCATAATCCAGCATTTAGTTCCGAATAGCAGTCTTTCTGCCAGCATGACAATCAAATTTTACAGTTAGCTCTGCTGAATTGGGTCACCTCAGCAGAAGTCTATGGAGCCTGCAAACCAGACAAGTGGATAGAAGGGTTTATATTGTTAAACCTAAAAAGCTTAAGCCATCAAATTGAGGGCGTTCACAATTCAGAACAAAGTCAAAGTCAGAAAAGACTTGTAAAGCAAAAAAAAAGAGAAAAGAAAGAAACTGGAAGGTGTCAGGTAAAGTTTAAAAACTCGATAGGAGTGTGATGATTGTTTTTTTTTTAAATCTGGAATAGAATTCCTGTAAAAGAGCAACTTTGGGAAACAAACTGAAACTTTATTTTGATATTTGTTAAATCTTTGTCTTCTATATATACACAAAATAAAGCTTTTTTTCTTGCGTAATGAATTTAAAAGGTGTGTTGTTAAAGAATTTCTCCAGCCTCATGTGAATATGTTTGTGACTAACCATGTTAACCAACTGCAAAACTAAAAATAAATGATCTATCAAGCCAGGCTTCATTCAATTCAATTTCATCGTTGGTTGAGATCATGACAAAGTTGCTAAAACTATACAGTAGTAATAATGGGAAATATTAATTATTCCAACATAACCTGGATTAGCAATACTGTATAGGGCAGGGCAGGTGAAGATTGCTAAGTGTTCATCAGGAGAATTTTGTTGATCAATTTCTTCAGGTCCAATAAGTAAAGATGCATTCCTATATCTGGTTCTAGGGAATGAAATGGGTCAAGTGCCATTAAGGATATTTTTACAGACCGTGATCACTGTATTATAAAATGGTTCATATAAGCTACAGAAAAGGGCAAGAAGAAATCTCGTACAAATGACAATTGGAGGAGGGTCAACTTCACAAACCAAGAATAGATTTGTCAAGAGGACAATGATTTAAAGAGAGAGCGAAAGAAGCAATCATGAAAACCATCTGTTTAAAAATAAGCAGAGTGGTTAATTCATAGAATGCACTGTCAGAAATTGTGAAGAACGATTCAACTACAACTTTTCAAAGAAAACTGAATAAACACCGGTAAAGAAAAGGTGTTGGGATACATAGAACGCACTGAAAGCATTCCAGAATAGGAGAAATTAAGCAGGGGGCAGAGGAGGAATTAAAACAGTGATCAGAAATTGTACTGGGAAAATTACTGGGACAAAAGTCTGACAAAATCCTTGCATCTGATGGTCCACATCTCAAGATCTTACAAGGAAACAGCTGCAGAGATAGATGTTCTTTTGTAGTCTTTCAAATTCTAGATTCTGCAAAGGTTTCAGTGGATTGGAAAACAACACAAGCAACATTACTGTTCAAAAAAGAGGGAGGTTAAAAAAAGGAGGAAACAATGCACCAGTTGAACCAACAATTGTTATTGGGAAAATTGCTAGAGTCAAAGATGAAATGCAGGATGCTTAGAAAAATAATACAATTAAGCAGAGACAGCTTTAATGAAAATAAAATCATGTTGGACAAATTCAAGTTCTTTGAGGATACACGAAGCAGTGTGGAGAATGGAGAATGAGTAGATGTAATGTATTTGGTGGTTGGTAAGGTGTCAATATATCGTAACAGAAAATAAGTGAATGTACTATTGCCAACTTTGTGGCTGACAAAAATAAATTGGAAGGCAAGTAGTGATGGTGACACAGTCTAGAGAGAAACTGACAGGCTGAGTGAGTGGGAAAATGTGAGGTTGTGCACTCAGGTAGAAGAGTTCAATATTATTTAAATGGGGAAAGACTTTAGAAAACTGCAACATGAAGGGATTTGGGAGGTCTTGCGCATGAATCATAAAAAGCCAGCATCCAAGATCAGGTAATACAGAAGGCAAATGGAAGTTAGCCATTATTTTAAAAGGAATGGAGTATAAATATACAGATGTCTTCCTAAAACTGTACAAGTCATTAATTAGCCTTGATGTGGAATACAGTGAAAAGTTTGGTCCCTTTACCCAAGATATATTGGGATCAGAGGCAGTCCACAAACTTCACTAGGTTTCATCCAGGTATGGAGAGATCTTATGGAGGAATTGTTCAGCAGGTTGGGTGTGTACTCATTGAGTTTAAAAGAATGAAAGGTGACCTCATTAAAACACAAGATTCTTAGGGGACTTAAGAGTAGATGCTGAGCAGTTGTTTGCCCAGGAAGAGTCTAAAGACCACAGGGCATAGTCTCAGAGCAAGAGTTAACTATTTAAGACAGATGAGGAGGAGAGGTGGAAAAACAAATCTGTAGAATTCTTTACTGTATAGGGCTACAGGTTGGGTATTTAAGAATATTCAAGGGTGAGATAGATGGATTTTTAATCAGTAAGGGAATCAAGGGTATGGGGGACAAGAAAAACAACTTTAAGATTATCAGATCATCCACTGAATAACAAAAAAGGAAGGAAGGAGACCAGGTGAGCGAAATGGCCTACTTCTGTTCATCCAACTTATAGGGGAAAAGGATTTGCAGAATCGTTCTTGCAGAGAGCTGGTATGGGTGTGAGAACTTTCTTCTGTATTCTAACCATTCTATGGTTCAATAAAAGCAGTGGATTTTTCACCACAGAAATACAAAAAAAGGTCAAGTTGCATCAAACCTGGAGTTTATCCAGGCACAACATCATATAAAAGGATATATTGACCTTAAAAAGAAAGCAGCACAGTTTCTCCAGAACGTTACCAAGACTTTGCTTTTTGTGAAACATAGTGATTTGAGGTTTTCATGATTTTGAAAGAAACTCATTAAGTTAAGTTCAAGAAATTTAACTTAATCTGTGCGGAGGCCTAGAGGGAACAGAACAGCAAAATCAGAGCCAGGACATTTGACAGAGGAGTCAGAAGACATTTCTTGTACTGGATTTTTTAAAATGTTGAATTCTGCCAAAGAACGGGTAGATAACAACTCAATGGAAAACATTTAAAATGTGCGATTGACAGATTTTTGCTAGCCAGGGTAGTGAAGTGTTGGGAAGCCAAGACTATTCAATGGAGTTAGTATACAGATCAGCCATAATTTCTTGAATGGTAGAAGAAACTTGATTTTTCACAACTTATTCCTGTTACTAAGAGAAATGATTAAAGTTGGGACTTCCCTGCCCTGTATGAATAATCTATGCGCCATTTTAACTAAAATGCATGCACAATAAAAGTAGGGAATTGGTCAGCAATGTTCAAAGAAATAAATCTTAAGACTACATTAACCCCAAATAAAAATCTAATGTATCAGTTTAACTAGTACTGTACTAAATGTTTAAATACTGCACAAACCTGCATGTTCTGGTAGTTGGCTTCAAACTGAGTTCCAGTCCCATTACAGACACCATAATGTTCAGAACTAGATTTGGTCCTGTATTCAATTGTAGTTGGGCCATTTCCTATATTAAATGGTTCCTTAGAAATTCCTTCATCTGACCAATTTAATACAGCTGTTGCAGCTGAAACAATCTCTGATGTACTTATGACATTATTATTATATACGGAAGAACTTTCAACGATACAGGATTTCGGGGTTGAACCCTCTATTCCAGTGATGATCTCATTTGATGCCTCTACAAAACCATTTATAAGGGTTGCAGAATTCATCTGCACATTATTTACTGTACTGTTTGTATTGTATGCACAGTGTGCAGATTCACTGATAGGAACTCTGGCCTTTAACAGTTTATTTCTCATTCGTTTTCTCGTTTTACAATCAGAAGAACACCTAATTGAGGAGTTGGTATTTGTCTTGTTATTCTGGTGTGCATATGTAGCATGACAATCTTCTGAATTATTGCAGTGACTGTTGGAGTCAGGTGAAACGTTTAGGTCCTTGCGTTCTGAAGTTAGTTGGAAGTCAAGCTTTTCTTTCCCAGCCATGTGAAGCAAACCATCCTCGCTAATTAGGCAATATTTGGATATTCTGTCCTCAACAGACATAGAAAGTGCTTCTTCTGCCTGAATAACACCAGTTTCCCACTGTGTGTGCACTTTAACAGAAACCTAAAACAAAGAAATGTCTTGAGTTAGCATAAAGCTTATAACAAAAGAAAATAATAACTTATTGACGGCAGTGATCAAATACCTCAAGTATAAACATTAGCTTCAATCAGTATCAAATTTACAGGCCTGTAAAAGTAGTGTCACAATAAATCACTGGGATCTGTAAGGACTGTTTTGCATAATGTGATGTAAACTGTGGGATATTCATTCAGAGTTTGGGTTTTTGCATTTTGAGATGGTAACTGGTGAGTTAAGAGTGTTTGAAGTCAATATTTAACAGCATTTCTGAAACCAAGGTGATTTCTCTCAAATTTTTAGAATTAATGGATTTTGTGCACCATAATTAGATTTTCATTTATTTGATTGTTTTGCAGTGTAAATAGTGGGCCTCAAGGTTTGTTAGTGGTTCTGGACCTTGGTTTTCTTTTTAAGCTTTAAGGGAAATGCCAAAATCTCAGATTGTTTTAGTTTCACATTTGACTTTGAGTGGGACACCCAGTGAAGTCCTTGGAATAGGTCAGCTGAAAAAAGGTGTTCTGAAAAGGATGTACAGTGAAATAGATCTTGGAATGACAGCTGGTGCTAGTTACAGATTACAGAATTGGTACAAATCCTACAAGGAATTATTTAAAGCCGAGTCCATTTAAGCAGATATGTGATGACTCCAGGAAGAAGCTATCTGCAATTCTAGTCTAAGGGTTGAAATCACAAGTCGCTATTTGAATTATAAAGCAGATAAGATAATGGTTTAGAATATTCTAATTTCTTTTGTAATAAACTTCCGTTTCATTGTTAAAGTAAAATCTGCAGCATTGCATGCTTACATTTCAGCAAGAGAACACTCAACTAAAACCAAAGCAAATAATACGAACTAACTAGCCAGGTTCCTGTCTGGGACATGACTTGTTTGGCAATGGCTGGAACAACAACAATATCGTATTAAGATTTCACTATCAACTATGAAAACCTTATCCTATGAAGGGTTCCTCTTGGCAACAATACTTAAAGTGATATTTTCCACAGAATGGTAAAAACCTCAACATTTTCAGCCTTTCAACCTCATATCCATACTAAGACCATCCTTTTCCATTAACAATCACCCATCTCTTCTTTTGGTGTCACCAAAACCCTCATCCACCTTTGTTATATTAAGGTTTGACAATTTCAATGCATTTGTACCTTGCTGTCATGCAAAGCTTTGCTCGAGTCCTATGCTGCACCAAATGTCATTAAATGTGTCATCTTTATGCTTGTTTGTCTCAACTGGCTCCCTGCTAGACAGCACCTTAAATTTTAAAATTCTCAAGTTATTTTCAAATCCAAGATCTGCTACCTTACTAGGTGTGTTCTCCCCAGTCCCACAGCAGAGATCTGTATTCCTTCGATTCTAGTGTCTTCAGCATTCCCAATTTTCATCATTCCAACCTTGATTACCCTGCCATTAGCTGCTTGGAGCCAAAACTCTCGAATTGCCTCCATAAACCCCAAAATCTCTCGACTCTTTTCCAAGACAGCGCTTAAAGTCCAACCCTTTGACCAAGACTTTGGTCAACTTCCTGAATTTTTCCCTGTAAGGTGTGATGTCAAATTTTATTTTATTTTTTTTAAAATGATGATACTGGGAAGGACTCAAGGTTGTTTCATTATATTGAAAACAGTATTACTGATAGCAGCTTTTGAAGCTTTTTGCAAGGAGAGAAAGAAAGAGAGAGTACAACTGTAAAAATAAGTGTTTTTAAAAAAAAAAGTCAGTGTATTGAAGTGCACTCTCTTTATTCCCGATTGTTGCCTTCAGTGCAATATAGAAAAAAATGACACATATACAGCACCTTGTTTCTATGCACATCAGTTTCCCCATTTTTGGTATTTCTTCGAACCAGCAGCTCATACTGATGTCTTCCTTCAAACGGTTCAGCTGCTGCTGATGCAACCCAGGCACGTTCGACAACGATGCCAAAAAACTGAACGTAGTATTGTCGGCAGGGCCGCCTGCTGGGTTCTAATAAAAATAGACATAACAAAGACATCAGAAATCGAAAAAGATTAAAGGTACATTCCAATTTAGCTTCTGTGGCTATTTACTTAATTTTAACAAAGTGTTGAAGTAGTAAACTTTTCGTAAAATGCCACCTTTTCCAAAAAGTCATTTACTACTACAGAGCTTGACCACTGCTGCAGATAGACACTTTGCTGAAACTTTCCATGTTCTGCTCATCAGGACAATTTGCAAGAATAACAATGTAAAAGCAAAAGAAAAAAAAAAAAACTTTGTGCTATACGAAAAACTAGCTACATAAACTCAAACGGGTCAAGGCTGTTACTGTAGACCCATAGAAGTCCCCAGTCTACCTCAGACTAGCCTGGAAGGGCAAAGTATCTCAATGTTTGAGCAATAGGTGAAACTAGCCAGAAAATGTTGCTACTGTACAGTGCTAACAAGTGTGATGCTCACCACTAACAAGATGCTACCATCAAGTCAAAAAGAGTAATGTGGCATATAATTTTCACTGCCATTGTGATACTAGGTAAGTAGGCTTTTTGCCTGAAAGCTTGGTAGGAATTGTCAAACAGCATATCCCTTCAGTTGTTTGAAAGCGTCATGCTGACTAGACCTTAACCAGCCATGTTTACAAAACTCCAAACAAAGTGTTTCCACAACTAGAAAATATTTACTAAACAATAGAGCTTGCTAACAATTATGTTGAAAACCAATTTGAGCTCAATGGAGTGCACCTATGTATAACAGAATACAAAATAATACACAAGGCCCTCTATTTTGCAAGCAGAAATAACTTGTACACACATTGATTGTCACAGGAATATTTGCTGGTCCAGTTGGTCAAGGTGTTACGTGGTTTAAAATTTAAATAAAGCTAACTGGTGAACTGTTGATGGCAAAATGATCTACCAATCACTCTGCTCTCCTACTGTAGAGAAACTTACTTTCCTTTTACGATGGTATTTTTGCAATTTGTCCCCATGAGCGTAAAGACAAATACTTCAACAAAATGCACATCTCACCCCCCCACCCAAAAATAACGATATGTAAACATCTGAATGCTTCCTCAGATGGCAACCTGCCGATTTCAGCTGGCACACCACGATGACAACAAGACAACAAAACCAGGCGGGAGGGGTGTGAAGAAAAGCAAGAGAATTAACTACAGGCAGAACCTACAGTAGAAAGTCTTATTCAGCATTGGTAGCAACATACAAGCAGGCAGCCTTGCACGCATGGAATGACTATCATTTTTAAAATGAATTCACAGGATTTAAAAATATTTCATGCGAGTTAAGTGCCACTGTTAAGGTAAGCATTTATTACCCAAACCAGGCAGTGAGCACATGCAACAGGGGGATGGGAAAGCTAACCTATTCATTCATGGCGATCTACATAGTACAGGTAGACCTAGAAGTCTGTTAGGGTGGAATCTCCAGAAATGTGACGCAAAGGCCATGTGTGACTTGGCATATGAACTTGCTTGTGGTATTGCTCTCATGCATCTGCAACCATTGCGGATAGTAAAGAATACAGCTAAGGAGGGGCTACAGAAGCAGCCTTTTCCAAAAAAAAAGTAAAGTAAAATAGTTCATGACTCTCAAAGATATACCCCAGTGAGGAAGGAGGATTCGAGGAAGGAGGATTCTAGGAAGGAGATAAACTGACCATGATTAACTAGGGAAACTAAAGACGGTATCAAATTGAAAGAAAAACAGTAGCAAAGATTAGTGCTAAATCAGAGGATTGAGAACATTTTTAAAACCGCCAAAAGATAAAAAGAGAGGGGGAGATAATAAACTGTGGGCAAACTAACAAGTAACAGAGACACATCAGCTAGAATGCAGGCCATCGTAGACTCAGTATTGTGAACAAGAAAAGCAATAATTAGCAACTTAGCTGTACAAGGGCCCTTGGGGAGGAGTGACCATTATATGATGAATTTTCATTGCAAATGGAGACAGACAAAGGTGATTCTGAGAGGAGCACCTTAATCTAAACATAGAAAATTATGATGCTATGAGGGGCCATAAATTGGGTAGCATTGTTTAAAGGGATGACAGTAGACAGGCAATGGCAAACAATGAGGAAAGAGAAAAAAAGTGTACGAAGAACTGCAACAAGGGTTCTTTCCGGTCTTCCTTCCTAAAACAGGAAAGGGCTGGTCATGGCTAACAAGGGAAATTCATGATAAAGTTGGGATAGTATTAGATCCAAGTAAGGGGCATACAAATTGGCTAAAAAGAGCAGCAGACCTGAGGATGGGGAACATTTTACATTTCAAAGACAGACAAAGGGATGGAGTGGAGAAAAAACAAAGTACAAGTTTTCATGTAATGTACAAACGGATTGCAAAATCTCCTATGGGTGTGTGAAGAGAGAGATTAGTGAAGACAAATGCAGGTCACTTACAACCAGAAACAGAGGGGCTGCAATGGGGAATCCACACTAGAAAATCATCCTTGTGAGCCTTCTCCGAACCACCTCCAGTGGAATAATTTCTTTCGTTATTTAAAGGTGACTAAAACTGTGGCAATATTCCAGATATGGTCACACCAGCACCTTGCACAATTGCAATAAGACATCTCTGCTCTTATACACCAATCCCCTAAAACTAAGGGCCAACATTCCAGTAGCGTTCTGAATGACCTGCTTCACCTGGGTTCTAGCTTTGTGTTTCAAGAATAGGGACCCCTAAATTCCCTTTGTGTTGTAGTTTTCTCCATTTGAATAATCTGTTCTTTTGTTCTCCATTTCAAAATGAACTATGACTTCACATTATACACCATTTGCCAACCTTTTGCCTTCACAATTAACCTATTAATATTTCTCAAACTGTTCCAACCCTCTCAACCTGCCTTTCCACCTACTTGCGTCACCTGCAAATTTGGCAACAGCACATTCACCTTCCTCCAAGTCATTAATATACAGACACATGGATAGTAAACAGTTGCAGTCCAAGCACTGATCTTGGCAAAATCCCAATGGTCACAGATTGTCAACCTAAAAAAGAACCTCTTACCCCCACTTGCTGTTTCATGCCCATTAACCAATTCTAGCTATACCAATGCTACCTCCAACACTGCGGGCTCTTATTTCATGATTTAACTTTTTTTGAGGTACCTTTATGAACCCCTTGTCCAAGGACAAACGCATTTACTGGATCCTCTCATCTACTGCAGAGGGGACATCCTCCGACAAAAAACTCTTAGTCAGACATGACTTCCCTTTCATAAAGCCATGCCCACCCTTTATTAGATTATTATCTTCCATATATTCTGTTGATTTCTTAATAATCGATTCCAATACTTTTCCAACAATAAATGTTAGCCTATTTACCCTACAGTTACTTTATTTCGTCTCTCCTTTTTGAATTGAGGTGCCCACATTGGTAGTTTTCCAACCTTCTAGTACTTCTCCAGAATCCAAGGACTTTAACACTACAACCAATACATCCATCATCTCTGTAGCTCCCTCTTAGTATATTAGCCAGCAAGCCATCAAGGCCAAGGGACTCAGTCTTTAGCCCCTTTAGTTTGTGTAATACTACTTTGTTAGTGATGGCGATGACATTTCATCCCTCCCCCATATTCTTTAGTCTTAAATGGTTTATTTGAAGTATCTTCCATTGCAAGAACAGATGCAAAATATCTGTTTAACTCTTCTGCCATTTCCTTTTTCTCCATAACCATGTTCTAAGGGGCCTATGTTCAGTGAACTCTTTCTTCCTTTTATACATTTAAAGAACTCTGATCAGTTTTTACATCCATCCATCACTAGTTTGTTTTTGTAGTTTACTTTCACTCATCTTTTTAGTCCTTTTTGCTGATTCCCAATTTATGCCAGATTTTGGAGCCACCACTAACTTTTACCTTCTTGAATGTTTTCTGTCAACTTAATATGGTCATTAACTTCCTTGGTTAGCTATGGGTCTTTCTTCTTTACTGGTATATATTTTTGCTTAGTCATGAATTACCTCCTTAAAACGTCTGCCTCCACTGACAGGCGCTCCCTCCTGCTCTTCATGTAAGCCACTGCTGAAAATGCCAGCTCGTTGAAGTATACTGTCACAAGCACCATGAGCACAGCGACAGCATGGCCAGAGATGGTCAGATAGTCACGCACCATGGTCAACCAAAACACGTTCAGAGACATCTCTCTAAACTTCAGTTTCATTGTGCGAGGAGTCAGTAGTTCTGCATATCTTTTCCTTTTAACAAGTTTTTGCGATGAATCAAAAGGCAGTGAAACTAAATGGATTATGCATCCAGTCATCTTCCATATTTGTTGAGAGAAGTAGAATTCTAACTTCTCCTGCAGTGCTAAGGTGTTTGAACACAAGACTGTGCATATGCTGCTGATGTTAGTAGAAACATCTCAAGGGAATCAGTCACCGATTCTTGCCAAAGGCCTAGTTTTAAACGCAAAATCTTGAAGAATTTCTGGTGGTCAGCATTATCTCATTCTTTTCAAGCATTTTAGCATTCAGTCCATGCAGATGGCTGAAAATGTCCGAGAGATATGGCAGCTTAGCCCACCAGCAACTCTTTATAAAAAGGCATGCATTGTTCGAAACTCTTGTTTCATCTTGAGCTCATGAATACAGGAAAGAAGGTTCCCCAAAAAAACAATCACACCTCTGTGTGTAACAGTAAACTCTGCTTGAACCCTCATCTCTAAACAAAATAATGAGCAAAATGGGATTTCATGGGCTGTGATTTTACGTAATAGCTAACTTTGGCAGCATTGTTTTGGCCACAAATGCTTCACAATGGTGGATGCAATGGGTGATCTCAACATCAGGATTTTGCTCTTCCATCTTAGTAACAAACCCTTCGACTTTCCGCATCATGGGGGCTGCTCTATCAGTGCAAATGATCCAACACAGCCCAGATAAATTTGTTTTCCCTCAAGTTGCTGTTATTGGAAGTATTTTTCCACCAGGCACATGACTCAGTTGCTCCTTGCAAAAGGAAAACTTTCCCCAAATGGACTAGCCA